GACATAAATCATCAGATGTTACCTGCCTCCACTGGGAGGTGGGGTTGAGACAGGGTTCTCTGTAGCTTTGGAGCCTATCCTGGAACAAGCTCTTGTAGACCAGGCTGGCCTCAAACTCACAGAGATGCACCTGCCTCTGTCTCCCGAGTGCTAGGATTAAAGGCGTGCGCACCTAGCCACCTGCCTCCAATTTTAACAGATTATTTTTCTTTTCATGAACCATCTATCTTTCCAGCTCCCCAAGGGTGGCATACATAGTTAACTTACTTCAGTGTGTTAGGAATTTAATATGGTAGTACCCTGCCTGCATGTTCCACCATCTCATTCTATAGCTGCTTCTTACAAAAGGAAATTCCCCTGTGGATATTTGTGCCCATTCACAAGGAATGACTCAAGGACACTTTCTTTCACCAGTGGGCCTGCTTCTTCAAGCAGCGGGACAATTCAAATCTCTGAGTTTCCCGTTTTAGTAAGTTGCACAATGTTTTCATTTGCCCAAAGTCAGCTAAGAACCTGAAGAGAACACCTGTCTGTGCATGTCTGAGAAATTGATGAGTTCCACAAAACTCTGGCTATGTGCACATCTGATATCCTGCTATAATGGCTCAGACTGTATCTTAGAAGCAACTGCAGAATTGGAAGGGAAACCTTACTGGCCAAATTGTGTTTATGCTACCCCTATAAGAGCATAAAGTGGGGAGAAAGTCACCTTATGCTACAAAAGAGAGAAATTTCACAATCCTCTTTGCAGAAAAATGGGGGAGCATTAATATGTGGGACAAAAGGGAAGCTTTTGTCTGCTAATGTTCTCATAGTTACAGCGTAGACCCTCCCAGGGATATGCGCCTGGCAAACACAGAGCTCAAATCTCTTGGAGTCTGGAGGTGGTGTGGAGGTTTGAATAAGAATGGTCCCCATAGGCTCATGCATCTGAATGCTTAGTCTCCAGGGAGGGGCACTCTTTGAGAAGGCTTAGATGATGTGGTGTCCTTGTTGGAGTAGAAGTGGCATCATTGGAGGAAGTGTGCCACTGGGGGTGGGCTTTGAATTTCAAAATCCCATGTCAGGCCCAGTGTCAGCCTCTCTCTCCCTGTGGATCAGGTAATAGAACTCTCAGCTACTTCTCCAACACCATGTCTGCCTGTGTGCCACCATGCTCCCTGCCGTGATGGTAACAGACCAACCTCAGAAACTATAAGCAAGGCACGTGAATGCTTTCTTTGATAAGAGTGGCCTTGCTCATGGTTTCTCTTCACAGCGATAGAACAGTGACCAAGACAGATGGTGTTTCATAAATTCCTGTGTGCTCAAGGTCTTTACAGTTTTAGTATACGCAGGTTTGTCCATGAAGAGGGCCAAAAGGGGATTACTGTCTTCTGAAGAGCACATTATTTTAGACAAGTAACTGGAATGGCCTCCTGCTTGCCCCAAATGTCACACAGTAGTCTCTTGTATTAATGACTGACATCTTGGAACAGATTCTAGTCAATGCACTTATGAGTATTCAACCAGCCCCAATTCTCCCTCTGTAGCTGCTAATGGGGCAGAGGAAATCCCTTACATGACAGTGGTAGTTTGAATGAGGATGGTCCCCGTAAGCTCCTATGGTTAATGTTTCAATGGTGAATAATTTAAGAAAGATTAGGATGTGTGGCCCTATTGGACGAGGCGTGTCACTGGGTGAGTTCTGATGTCTCAAAAGCCCTCTGCCTCCTGCCTGTGATCAGGATGTAAACTCTCAGTTTCTGCTACAGTGCCCTGCCAGGCTGCCTGCTGCCATGCTGCCCACAGTGATGGTACTGGACTAACCCTCTGACACTGAAAGTAAGCTCCCCATTTAATGCTTTGTTCTGTAAATTCTCTTCAGCACAGCGCCTCTTCCCAGCAACAGAACAGTAGCTCAGACAATGTCCTGTGGCTGTCAATGGACTTGGGGTTCCTGCCTCTTTTCTTCTGTGTTATCTCTTCTTGTAGGGCACAGGGGATAATTTCTCTTTCAATATCAAATTAGTGGCTCCAAAATGATGGTGAGGTAAAGGAAATACTTTGGAGATCTTCCTGCAATAGAGAAGGGGCCCCAATCTTGTTCTACATCGTAAGGGTGAATACATATTACATCTGAGCCATATGCAGAGCATATTCATCGAAAAGTACATGGCAAACACACCACAAACACCATGGAAGCGTACTTGGGAACCACACCACAAACACCAGGTTGCTCTTGGAAGTCCCCAGCAGGCATGGTGCAACACAATTGCAGTGACTGACCAGGATACAACTTGCCTGGGAGGCAGCGATCTGGGGACTGTACCACAGCCTCCTGGAGAGGGGATATAAAATCTAGGAAATCCATCCATCCCAGAGTCAGGGGATTCAAGGTGACCACCACATTCATATTCTCTACAGAGCACCACTCTGTATCCCGTGTGCACTGCCCACTTTACACTCAGGGAGGATGAAGTGAGTTGTGGAGCACTACAGTTGCTGCAATCCATAAATGGAACTGCTCTATATGTGTGCCAGCTTTCCAAACACACTAAAAACGCATTGCTATTCCATAAAACTTCAGCCCTTTTAAAGAAAATAAATGTAGGCATGTAGTTTGAATGCCACCTCCTGGCCATAATGGGGACTACATCAGTGAGAGTCTTGGGCCCAGTGGCGTCTATATTTGGGTGGGAGGGAACATTGGCTGTAACCTGGACTTGAAGGGACCTTAGATAAGATAAGGCAGTGTTTTTTCACTTCATTATACTTTCCTGGCACATAAAACTGGACATCTTAGGTATATCAAATGTAAACCCGAGATTGGAGACCAATCCCAGTCTAAGGCTAACATAAAGCAGCCTCATTAGATAGAGATGGTGGAGCTCTGTGTGTAAACACACACACACACACACACACACACACACACACACACACACACCACACACACACACACACACACACACACACACACACACACACCACACACACACACAGAGGCATGCACACAGCATCAGAATAGATTACATTCGTCTTTACTACTCCAGAAACTCAACAAAATGACTACTTCTCCTGAAGTATGGAAGGTGTATAATCATTTATCCAAAGCGCGATTGTGGGTTCGAGCATGCCTGTGAGTGCGTGAGCAATTGTGTGTGTGTGTGTTTGTGTGTGTGCGCGCGCGTGAGGTCAGGGGACAGAAGACAGCCTCCGGTGCTGTAACTCAGGCGCCATCCCCCTGATGTTTTTCTTAGACAAGGTTTCCAACTGGCCTGGAACACGCAAGGCAGGATGGGTTAGCTCGTCAGCACACTCCAGGGATGGGCTCGCCTCCACCTTCACACATAAGCATGTCCCGCCACACCTGCTACTTTTCCTCCTGTAGTTTATCTTCATTTTCTGGATGATGCTCTCTGGGAATGACACTCAAGGCCTCATGCCCACAAGGCCAGCACTTTACTGATTTAGCTGTCTCCCCAGCCCTACTTTTACCACCCAAGCACAAGTATTTTCTCAGATTACACTTTAAAGTACTTTCCTTCCTGGATATGAAATTTCAAACACCACAGGAAAGCACATGTACTACCATAAGGAAATCTGTGTTTGTTGCTGGGCTTATTCCTACCCCTAAGGCACAGGGCTGTCTGCAGGGAAATCTCCTGAGAGTGAGCTATCTGAGTAGAGTCCCAGCCGCCATTTTCTGTGCGCCTTGCTGTATGTGGTGGTGAGGAAGTCACTTCCCCATTTAGGGGATGGTAATCTTTAATGTGTCTGCCAGGGACACACAGGGCTCTGCCTAACATCCAGTGAAAAGAGGATGTTTTCCCATGACAGAACTAAGTTGAAACTTTCCCACAGTGAATGGAATGATAATAGTCCTGATATCTACTTTGTGTGTTTAGTGCAGAGTCTCAGAGCAGCCCAGCCCAGCCTGGGACTCTTCCCCTTCCTCCCTCAGCCTTCAGAGTGCTGCTGGTCTTCCCAGCTTAGCACACTGCTCCAGCTCAAGTATTCATTTTAATGTAAACACATTCTTAATGCTACTGTTTTCTTCTCGGCCCAGTAACATTTTCATTCCATTTCTACATGTATATGGTTGAATTCCCACGAAATAAGTAATTTTATCATTGATTTCCCTGCAAAAAATTATTTTATAATGATCCACATCTCTTGAAAAACCATGTACTCTAAGATTGTTTTCCTAAGAAATTTCACATTTTCTGAGATATTATTGGTTTTTGTTTGGTTTTCATTTTGAGGCAGGGCCTCTCTATGCTATTCAGGCTGTTCTGAAACTTCTTTGCAGTCATGATCCTGTAACCCCAGTGTTCAAATAGCTGGAAGTGCACGCATTTGCCACATAATGCGAATGAAAACTGTTCTCATTATTGCCTGGCATTTGAGCATTTTTCTTTAATGTTTCACAGCAATTATTTTAATTTGTAAATGATTTTAAGGCAAATAATGTGCATAACTTAATAATAATTATGTTGTGTATATTTGTGTGTGTATTTACACATTAATGCACATGCCTACAAAGGTCAGGAGAGGTCATACCTTCCTGGAGCTGAGGTACGGTCCATCACGGATTTTGGAAATGGATGCTGGAAACAGACCTTGCGTCCTCAGCAAGAATAGAATGCACTCTTAACCACTGAACATCTCTCCAGCAAGACTGTAGACTGTTAAAGTCCATTAGCCATTATAATGTTCATATTTTAAATTCCACTGTGTTTTCCCCTTGGTTCAATGACCTGGAGCTGATTCTTCTTTTTTCTTGTTTAGATTTATTTTTACTTTTAATTATGTCTGTCTGTCTGTCTGTCTGTCTGTCTGTCTGTCGTATGCACATGATGGGCAGAGGCATTGACTCCTGATGGAGCTGGAGTTAAAGGCAGTTGTGAGCTATCTGCCATGGGTGCTGGGACCCATACGCTCATAAACAGTAATGACTCTCACATCTCTTTCCTCCTGCCTCTACGTCTTGAGTGCTGGTATTACAGGTGAGGGTGAACATGCCCAGAGGGTCAAAGAACACAGAGCAATTTCCATTCTAGGCAATCATTCTGCCTCGAGAGCTATGTCGCCAGTCCCCATACTGTGGCTTTTTAAATTCACCAGTGATTTCTTTTCATGGTATAGCATTCTCATTGAACAGCTACCAGAAAAATCAAGAATATAGCTGGGAATGTCCTGCACTGCCAGGGGAGCCATACCAGTGTCTAGGGACCACTTTTAAAAATCCCCACATGTGCTCCCACCACAGTTTTGAAGAGCTTCGGACAGGGCCACAGATGCTGGGCAGATCTATGTGCTGCAGCATCCTCGAGTCCAGCCTCTGGCAAGGACATCCTGTTCCCGAGAGCAAGTCTCCTGAGAGCAAACCTACCTTACATGCCCAGCTTCCTCAAAGGTCAGCAACAAGGGACTGGAGGCTGCTGTTGTACTCTCTGTGGTTGTGTGTGCAGAACAATGACCCAGACCCTGCAGAAGAATCACAAAACAGGAAAAAGGTTGGTCAAAGAATCAGACACATCCTTAAGCTCAGTGCTGAAGACATAAAAAAAGAAAATTTGGAAATATAGCATAGTGTGTGGATATAGAAATGACGGAGAAAGAAGAACAGGATTTCCCTTGCACGGAGATGTGAGTGTGGGTGTCCTGATGTGGGGCTGTGCCTCCCTAGGAGTATGGGGACAATGATGAAGGGATCCCAGACATATCTGAGAAGCCGGATTCTGTGTTTGGATATCTGTACAGCAGTGGTTCTCAGCCTTCCTAATGCTGTGACATGACTCTTAATACAGTCCCTCATGTGTGGTGATCCCAACCAGAAAATTATTGCTGTTGCTACTTCATCGCTGTAAAGTTGTTACAGGTAAGAATCATAATGGAAATAGTTTGGGGGATAGACGTTTGGGGGGGGATAGATAGTTTGGGGGATAGAGGTCACAAGTCACAGGCTGAGAACCACTGTTCTAGAGTCAGAGAGATGTGGAACCTTCCTAGGCCCAGCAACTTTGCTTCCCTGAGCCTGGATGTGCTGGACCCATTTTCCAAACACAGGCTGGGCATATCTGTGAGGCACGAAACAGAGTGAGCTGTGATCTCTGAGCTGTGCTTACCACTCTGAATTGAGAGCATTAGAATGCTCACTCATTGATTTTATGGGCCTTTAGTTACAACATCTGCTCTAAATGCCAGTCAGAAGTTCCTGCATATGTGACAGACTAATGTTGATGTATGCAATTGGAATTACAGGCTGGCCTTGCACTCAGACATCATACTGCTCTGTCTCGTGAGTCCTGGGATTAAATGTGTGTGCCACGCCCACCTGTCAAAAATACGCATTTCTAAAGGCAGTAGTCTCCTGGAGAAAGAATAGGGACAAGCAGGAGCTGCAGCACCTAGAGACTGATTTCACTTTGACTCTGCCTAAAGCCTACTCGCTTCATCCGTAAAACTGCCAAGAGCAGTACATGCTGTAGAACAACCACTTTCAAAAATACTTTAAACGTTAGGTTTGCTTTTCGTTAGACAAATGTTAGATTCTTATTCTTTTGGAAATTCTTCTACAGTTAGTTTTACTTAGAAAAGTTTACATCTGAAAATTATTCATCAGCTGACACGTTGTTAAATTACTAAGTTTTACAACAACTAGTTTGGGTATTCAAACTACCCTGTGTCAAATACACGTGGAACAACTGATGTCAGTAAACGGAAGCACTGTGTCTCCAAGTGGTCAGACAAATCCAGAGATGTTAGAGCAACGTCTCCACAAGGAAAATGCACAGCGCATACAGGTGCTATCTGCCTTCTCCCAGACAAGGCTGCACAGGGCAGCTCTCACGCTGATCACTGCAGCATGGCTTCATCCCTCTTTCAATCCACTTCCATCCCTCCCCTGTCTTCTGAACCATCTCCACTGTCTCCACACACTCCCTCATCCCGCCCTCCCCAGGCCTTTCTCTGTGCAGTGCCAAGTCACCTTCCACCAAAAGGAATCAAATCATGTCAATTCCATAACTCACCTTCCACACTGATCATATAATCCAAATGTCATAGTCAGCTGAAAACGACACACATCTTCCTTTCTACCCTATCCCCAAGCAGTGTCCACATTGTCTTCAAGGCTCTGGCCACTGGCCTTGTCCCCTGCTCTTAGATCCACTGTTCTCCATGGGGGCAAGCACGCCCATAACATGGCTTATGCATGGCCTTGCTTCTTTTTGCCATTCAGGACTCAGATCACATGCTAACTTCTGAAAACTTTAGGGGGTAACATCACGTACCACAATCTCCATCACAACTATTTCCTGTCCCCTTTATGATCTTTAAAGCGCCAATAATACATGGAATTGCTCTGATTACTGATTTCTTCTGCTTACTGACAGTTTGCCTATCTAACACAAAATACAGGAACCCGTGCTAGTCTTCACAGTGCAGGAACAAGGTGCTCACAAAAGAGGCCAGTATGTGAATATCTGGATAAATATATATGAAGGAATTGATGCGTATTTGACATGCCATGTAACACACTGGTATTTACGGGAGTAGCAAGAGAACACGGTATGGAATTAAGCAGTCTGTGACTCCATATCCTAGAAGACAGAATAACAAACACAGTAGCAATACTTTTTAACGTGGACAGCCATCAGAAAGAAGTGGCTATGCCACACCACACTTCACAGGGTTTGATTCGGTGTCTAGTGTGGACCCAGATTTCTACCATTTTAATAAGCACTCCCTGCAAATGTGATGCAGAAATGCATGACCCATTCAGGAAATGGTCTGAAGGGATGGCTTCCATTTCAGTCCTGGTCATTTAAAGGAACCCATGCAGACTTCTGTCATCTGGGGAGTCTATGAATGCCATTGTTCCACAGTGTGCTGCTCTTGCTGCTACCCTGCTGCAACAGGATGTGTTCCTACAAGGCATCACAGATCCGCTGCAGGTCACATGGATGGGAAGAGAAAAGGAAATGACTCACCTGGTGAGTCCCACATGATCTTGTCACTCTTGCTCAGGTAACAGGCTGACAAGACCACACCACACTTGGTTCTTCTCCAGGAGCTGGTTTTGCATGGAGAGTTCACTGTTTTCTCCCCTGTTCTACTAGAAGGCAGAGTAAGGGGAGAGAAATCTCATGGGGAGGGGAAGAAGGCGATGAGAACGCTCATGCACTCTACTGTACTGAATATAGGGATGGAGTAGTCTGTCTGCATCCAGTCAAGTCAAAGATGTGCAGTGACATCTTCCTCTTCTTTGTTCATCTCACAGACCCTTCCTATACACACCCATGTACACATCACACACACACACACACACACACACACACACACACACACACACACACTCACACTGGTGGCACTGATGACTCACATACTGGAAACAAGGGCTCATGTCAGCTTCTTGTCAACCTTCTGCGTGTTCTCTCTGCCTTCCTGTTGTTCTTATCATAGAAGAGACCTGATATTGACAGAAAGAGGAGACAAAGTGTCACTGACAGCTAGCATTTGGTGATTACTGTCTTCTGGGGGTGGTCAGATAATCCAGAATTCTAGACAGATAACAAGTGAAGAGCAGGTCCACTTGAATGTGTGTCCTTGCACGGGCATGTTATGGGATAATTTAAGCATCACAGTATATAATGATGACAAAGTGGTACTCCTTTAAAAAATGGGTGTTTCTGAGTGGACACAAACGCATGAGTAAATCCATTAATAAACAAAAGATAAAAGGGAAACTTTACTCAAAGACAAGCAATGCTTGTATACTAGTAACTGCACAGGGAAGTAGGTATCAGAGCAACACTTAGCAGGCGTCATGGTAATAATCCATATGGCAAGACCCATCCATAAAACACCCCCTCTGTAAACAGTCTACAGCAGACACTGCTAAAATCTGCATGACTGGATGGGAAAACAAGAGGGAAAACACACGAGTACTAACCTTGACCCTTTTGTGTTGGCAAAAATATTATTAGATATTTTGAAAAAAGTTACCTACTTATTCTACATAATACAAATCTTTCTGGAGTTACACATACATACCTAACTCTTCACATGTATCCCCTTCTTTCTCTCCACTGTGATCTCAACACCTACCTGATGGAGCTGGCTGGGAGGTGAAGGAGTATCTCTATGATTCCAAAGATTCCATTTGGGCAAACATTAGACCTGTGGCTGCCTTAGAAAATTTCCCCCAAACTGGGTGTTGGACATTTGTTTCTTTTCTCATAATTAACTTGCAACTTCAAAATACTGAAATTGAAACATAAGCAAATATATGTTTTCAAAGACATTTTCATCATAGAGAAAGAAACCTGACATTTCAACCTAAAAGAGAGCTTTTGTTAAAATCTACCCACAGACATTTGACCACAGTGAAATGTGTGGAAGCTGTAATTTAAAATCCCTGTCACTGGAGATAGCATCAGGAAATATGAAATAATTAGAAAAACTCTGCCCGCTTCTCTGTTGTGCCTAGACACTGAATGGGACAAATCATTGCTGAGAGTAAAGATGTATAGATTCGTCGACTGTGGTGATATTTTGTTTGTCCTATGACAATAAAGCTTGCCTGAGAATCAGTGTGTGCAGATAGCCACTAGTTAGCCAGAGAGGACAGGCAGTGTTGGAACTCACCTTTCCCAACACTCAGGAGGTACAGGCAAATGGATCTCTGCGAGTTCAAGGCCACCCTGGGATACACTAGATTGATCCAGTCTAAAACAGAAAGAGAGTCAGGCACTGGTGGCTCACACTTTTCTTCCCAGGGTTTGTTGAAGAGAGGAATATAAGGTGGGAGGAGATAGGAGATCCAGGCATTCAGTCTGAGGTCTTGTAGAGACAGGATGCTCCATTTGGTCTGAGGATTTCATAGAGGAAAGAACTGGAAGCTGGCTGCTTTGCTGTTCTGATCTTATAGATTCAACCTCGTAATATCTGACTCCAGATTTTATTATTAAGACCAATTAGAATTCACTCTGCAATCACCTTCATGCAATGGAAGATACAGGTGTCTGTTCTCCTCAAAAAGACCTATAGATCCAGTGCAATACCAACAGAAATCTAACAGACTTTTCATAAACTAATGGGCTTATCCTGAAACTCATAGTGAATATGAAAAACCAGAGCATGAAAACACCTTCAAAAGGAAAAATCTTGGAGGATGAACACATGACTTCCAGACTCCTTATAAACCTAGAGAAATGAAGACAGCGTGCCTGATTGGTAATGACAATAAGACAGAAAAGAATATGAAGGGGACAGAAGAGTCACACACGTGTGAGGGGACACCTTTAGCAAAGACACAAAGACACTTCAATGAAGCAGGAATATGCTGGTCACCGAGGTTTTTTGGGACTCCCTGTAGTGGTAGGGAGGAGCAGCCCAGCATCGTGACCTTCAGCCTGAGGATCACCCTGTCCTTTGATGACCTTGACCCTGGTAAACTGGGTCTAGGCTGCAGAAAAAACTTTCAGAAAAAGCCAGGATGAAGCAAAGGTTGTGAGCTTATTAATCCTGTGGATAGAAGCTCACACAGAATAAGGATGGCTCATGCATGACGGCCTCAGTGAGGACTAGAGAGAGACACTTGAGATTAGGTGTCAGTACAAAGGGTGTGTGAGGAGGGCAGAAGAGTGAGAAATGTGAAGATTTTTATGGCTCTCAGAGTTACATTGTTTTAAAATTACATGTAAGAATACTTTGAGTCTTTAAATGGGTTCTGTTTTCCCATTAGGAAAAATATACAATATGTTATTAAAAAGTCAAAAATAAAAAAATAATCTTTTGAAATGTTCTTATCGCTTTTAAAATTTCTTTTAGTAAATTAAATTTAAGGTTAATATGTGATTTTACAAGTATTCTTGTCCTAAGTAAGCACAATTAATTAATTTATTTATATTTGTTGAATGTTTTTCCATAGGGAAGTTTGTGCACCACATGAGTGAGTACCTACTGCTCACAGAGGGAACCAGAGTTTGAGATGTCTTGGAACTGGAGTTACAAACAGTGTCAACCATTGGGTAGGTGCTGGGTATCAACTCTGGATCCTCTGGAAGACATTCAGAAATATAAAAGAATGAACCCTATCTTCAGACTCCAGTTTGTTTGTTTTTATTTTTAAACTTACTTTGAGATGTTTTTAGGAATAGTTGCATCATATCTGCAGGTAATTTTGGCTCTATCAGTTGGGCTGAGGCTTCTTGAATGTCCTAAAAATGTAAAAATGATCACAGGATGAGGGGCTATGTATTCCCTCTCATATCCCCTTCAATGCCCTGTCTTCTGTCTTATTTTGGGACAAGCAGACCTCCCCATGCACAAATATAAATATAGACAAGTTGTTTATCTCAGGATACAAAAGTCAACCCAAAACAAACAAAGGATCTACACAGGACTAGAGACATCTCCGAGGTTAAGAGTGCCTTTGGCTATTGCAGATGACCTGACTTCAGTTTCCAGCACCCATATGGTGGCCGACAGATGCCTATAACTCCAGAGCCAGGGGAACTGACAGTCTTTTCTAGTCTCTGTGGACATCGGCACTCAAATGCGCATATCGTACACACAGACATACAGGCAGACACTCAGTACATAGTGAAAAGAAATCTAAAAGATAATTGATCAAGAATACAACCTAGAGCCTGGAGAGATGGCTCAGTGGTCAAGAGCTCTTCCAAAGGTCCTGAGTTCAATTCCTGGCAACCACATGGTGGCTCACAACCATCTGTAAAGAGGTCTGGTGCCCTCTTCTGGCCTGCAGACATGCACAAAGAATATTGTATACATAATAAATAAATAAATAAATATTTTTTTGAAAAGAATACAACCTAAACATGAATCGTGTAGGAGAAAACGAATGAATTACAGACTAACTTCTTAGATATAACAAACCTCCTTTCATTAAATGAACAACTGGATTGTTAAGAACTCCATAAAGTGAGAAAATGTCCACTCTTCCAAATATATGTTAGTAACATATTTTTCCTGCCTGGGAAAATGAATGTGGGAACTTGTGTATCAGGTGACAGTCTTACTGTTTCCAGATTTCCCAAACCTCAAAAAGAGCCAGTAAGAAAATAGACATTTCAGAAAATAAAAGTTGGCCAGAAGGGTGAGTAGATGCTCCACTAAGAGAAACATACAGCCGCAACATGCTTAACACTTAGGGAAGAGAGACAGGTGACTCTGAGGGGACTCTTGACACACCCATAAAATACTCAGAAATAAAGACTTGTCATACAAAGACCTGGCAGGTTGTGGAGGATGAAACTCTCGTACCCACTGCTGGTGGCCATGGAAAACAGGACAGAGACTTGGAAAAGTATTTCCCAATGTCTTCATATGTTAATTGTCATCTGACCATCACATTCCCAAATATATAACCTGGAGGAAGAGGACATATTTTCTTTTAATGACTTATTTATTTCAGTTCACACCAGCTTTATATAAAAGACACTGAAATTGAAAACAACCAAAACAACAGGCTACAGGTAAATGACTCATTTCCCAAGACTGTCATGGCAGCTCCCAACTGTAACTCCAGTGCCAAGGGATCCAATACCCTCTCTTTGCATCCATGGGCACCAGGCATGCATGTGCTCTTCATACCTATATGTAGGCAAACATATATACATATAAAATAAAAATAAATTATAAAATTTTCTGTGTAGCTATACATTGCTACACCATTTAATATTAAGAATGAACAATTATCATAGGCAACAAAATAGATAAATTTAAACATATATTCAAGATGAATGAAGGCCAGATGTCTCTAAACTCTGGTTCTATTCTAATACATTCCAGCATATATATTAATTTGTCTATAATATCAGATTGGTTTTTTTTTTGAGACAGGGTTTCTCTGTGGTTTTGGAGCCTGTCCTGGAACCAGCTCTGTAGACCAGGCTGGTCTCGAACTCACAGAGATCCGCCTGCCTCTGCCTCCCGAGTGCTGGTATAATATCAGATTGTTGTAATTTCCTGCAGACAGGGTAGGGCAGTGGTTGGGAGTGAAAACCTAACTAACATAGAAATGAAACTTTATGGATTGGTAAATAATAATGAAACTTTTACCTACCTGAGTATAAGAAGATGTCTATTGTCATTATGGGGAAAAGTAGAAAAATAGTAATTACGTTTAATATTTGATGACTTGGACTGCAGAGATGGCCCCATGGTTAAGAGGACTTGCTGCTCTTACAGAAGACCCGGACTGGGTTCTCAGCACTCACTTGCTGGCCCACAATGGACTGCATATCTGTTTCTAGGGGAGCAACACCCGTTTCTGTCCAAAGCAGCACACCCTAATCCTGAAACCAGAGCAAAAGAAACATACACTGACCCTGAGACTAGAATCAGTTCACTGGCCCTGAAACCAGAGTCCAACGTTTAAAAAAGGCCAGTGAAATAAACACATTTGCCCCTGAAACCAAAGCTACAGAAACACACTCTTCCACTTACCAATTCCGCAAAACAAACTAACCAATATCTCAGCATAAAAGGAACCAATCCCAGAGCAGGAAAACCAGCAGATCATTGAGCATGAAACCACCCTGTACCTGTTCAGTTGGGAGCTGCCTTTCCCACTTTTGCAGGGTCAGCCACCTCCTGGACTCTTCCCTCCCAGTGAATCTCTTGAATGAGGCTTGGGTGAGACCTTCTTTGCCTAAGAAGAACAGAGAAGCAATGACTTCAACTGGAGACGAGTGGAGGAGAGGGGAGCAGAACTGGAAAAGCTTCTCCTAGCAGAGTAGAGTTGTTACTCTTCTGAGGATCTGAGCAGAGCTGTAACAACTTGGCTAGGGAAACCCTCCCCTACCAGAGCAGAGCTGTTAATTTGGGAAAAGCTTTCCCTGAAGCAGGGCTGTGAGCTTCTAAGTTTAAGGTGAATTTGTGGTATTCCTTGGCTCCTGACTGCCAGGATCCCTTTCCATCTGAGCAGCAATGCTTACAATATACACACAATTTTTAAAACATTGCAGTCATTGGGTGCCGGGAAGATATCCCCAGGCTGCCTGACACCATTCTGTTCAGGCAGGTGCCACACACCCACAGGCAAGCCTGCATTGTCAAAGCCTGGGCTGGGGAAGACATTCACAGGTCGACCCGCTACTTCCAGGAAGCCATTATGGTGAGCAAAATGTGTGGTGGAGAAATGGGAGAGAAAGAGCAACAGAACTAGCTATGATAAACGGTGCAATGAAGGATGTGAAGGCAGTGAGGAACAGACTGAGGAACAACCTAAATACCTTCAAGCTCAGGAACATGGATTCAAAACAAACTTCTTACCCAGACCCAGAAAAACAAATGTAATATGTACTCTCTCATGAGTGACTTTTGGATAAAAAGCAAAGAAAAACCAGCCTACTTTCCACAACCCCAGACAACCTAGACAAGAAAGAGAGACATTGCTGGTCTACATAGGAAGGAGAAAAAGACAAGAATTCCTGAGAAAACTGGCCATGGGGGGGGGGGGTCAAAGGAGAGGAGGAAGGGGAGAGTATAGGAAGGTAGGAAAGCAGAGCTAAATGTATAGCTCAATAAAAGCAATAAAAACCAAACTTCTTAGATATAACAAACCTCTTTTTATAAGTTGAGAAGCTTGTTGTTAGGACGTCCATCAAGTGTCAGCTGTATGCTCTTCCACGTAATGGTTGATAAATGAAGACAATGCCCTGATGGGGAATACAAGTTTGAAAACCATGCACCAGATTAATGAATCCTTGTATCTAGGATACAGAACATCTCACAGACATCATTAAGGTAAGTGCTACCTATGGCTTTTCATGTAATAGAATAGAGATGATTCTAAGTGACCAAGAGTATTGATTTCATAATAAATGTAAATGTATATGAATACATCAAGCAAAGAAAAATACTCTTCAGGTTACCTGTTAAGATAAAATCTTAACACCAAAACATGGACGCCTGGTAGTCCAATGACCCACGGACAAAAGGGGGGTCTTGGGGGGCAGGGCGGGGACAAGTAGAACACAGGACACCATGCCAACAAGCTGAAGGTGCACGTGCTCCCTTTCGGGGGGTCCTTGAGGCCTGCCCGGTTGGCAGACACTCACCTCTCTGGGTGGGTAGCCTTAATGTAGGAGCAGAAAACTGTTCCTGAGCAAAGAACCTTTCAGAAAACGCAGGCTTTGGGGGGAGGCCGTGTGTAAGAAAGACAGCCCTGCAGAAGGAGCTGGGGGAGGGGGGTTTGTGCTCTTTTCCTGGACAATCTGCCCCTGGATAGCACACACTCACCCGTCCAGATGGAACTCCTCAGCACATAAACAGGGTCGCCTGGTAGCCCAATGATCCTAGACCAGGATGGAGGGGGGAGGACTTTGGACTTTCCACAGGGCAGGGAACACTGACTGCTCTTCAGACTGGAGAGGGAGGGGGAGAGGAGTGGGTGGAGGGGGAGAGGAGTGGGAGGAGGTAGAGGGAAATGGGAGGCAGGGAGGAGGCGGAAATTTTTTTCAATAAAAAATAAAAAATAAAATAAAATAAAACATAATTGACAGAAAAAAAGATAAAATCTTAAAATACTGACTTTTAAGCACATATCCCTTAAATGTTACACTGAACACTTAGAAATGAACAAAAAATAATAGCCAATTACAAATAAAAGGTAACCTGAGATAAAAATTCTGATATTTGAGAAATGCTTAAAAGAATATGCAATTAAGAGATATTTTTGAAACCCACAATAATTCTATGGGCTCAACTTTAGTGGCAAAATGTTACTTTTTCAAGAAATATACCAATAATGTGGCATTTTTTTGAGGAATGTGATGGCTAATCTTGGTTGTCACTAAGACTACATCTGAAATCAACTAAAACTCAAGTATCTGGACTCTCCTGTGAGAGATTTTCTTGATTGGATCATGTGAGGTGAGAATATTCACCCTAATCATCATCTCTGTTGGAAGTCCACATCAAAGGACGTGGAAGAGGAAAGTTTTTATTTTTGCTTGCTCTCATTCTTATCAGCAATGTCATCTACCCTGCTTCTGAGGCATCCCTTTGTTGGAGTTAGAACCTACATTTTTGGGACTCCAATAGTGACTGAAGAAAAGTAGCAGGTCCCTAAGAATCCTCTAGATCTCCAGTGCCAAACTGGGACTGCTGAGACATCCAGTCTTGTTGACTGAACAACTACCATTTATGGCTTTTCTGCCAGACAGAGCCATTGTTGGTTTTGGGAGGCACATTCTACTAATTATATTCCTTTAGATCAGTGGTTCTCAACCTTTGAGTTTGACCCCTTTCACAGGGATCAGATAAGACTATAAATAAACACAGATATTTACATTGTGGTCCATAAAAATAGCAAAATTACAGTTATGAGTAGCAATTAAATAATTTTGTAGTCGTAGGTCACCACAATATGACAAACCGGATTAAAGGATCACAACATTGGGAAGACTGAGAACCACTGCTTTAGTGAGATCTGAGTAATGCAATGGATAAGGAAAAGCTCAGGAACAATAGTAGATTGGAACACACTGTTTTCGATGCAACAATAATCATATGGGAAATAATACATTGAAAAGATTTATGAAAGCTAATTTTCCTGTAGCTCTATGGACTTCTGAAACTTGATAGAAGACAACCTACCCACTCTCCAGACGAATATGGAACATTCGCCAACACTAACTCCACATGAGACTGTTAAATTTGTACACAAATGCATGTATGGATTAAAATGTTGCAATTTGCAGGTAGTTCAATTGGTAAAAGAAAGGCACATATACTTATGCCTGCCTGCTGAGTTCAATTCCCAAGACCCATGAGGTGGAAGGAGAGAACCAATCATCACAAACTGGTTTTGGGAGGCACATATGTATCTAGGCACTGATGCACTGAAAGGCCTCTTTCACAGCAATAGAAACCACGGCTTAGCAGAAAAGACAAAAATATTCCAAGAATGGTGACCTCTATGCATCCATTAATGTAGGAGAAGACCCAAGTTTTCCAGAAGGTCTGTAAAACAATGCAGACTAAGTAAGGATAAAAGACCCAAGTTTTCTCTCAGATATCGAATCTAGAGTTGAATTCGTTTGTGAGTGTGGCTGTGTGTGGTCATGCTTGCAGGTCATAAAACTAGAAAACAGACCATGAGGAGACGAACAGGAGCTTAAAAGAGGAAGGAAAAGAGAGGGCAGTGAAATATGTGGGCCATGAAAACAGAAGATGCAACAACTTGTAGATGAAAGCACAAAGGAAAAAATCTATTTCTAAAACAATGTTGAGTAAACCAGGAAGCATATGAACCCAAGATACATGAAATGATTGATATAGTCAAACTTCAGAAAAGAAAAAAGAAAAAACCTTGAGATCATGTTGAAGGAATTCTGTTTCTGGTAGACAAAAAGAGAGCCACGTAATTATAATGAGGCATGCAGTCCAAGGGATAAAGCACACTATTTATTATAGTGCTGAATAAAAGCAATTATCAAACCTGAATCTCTATGTCTACATAAATTATTCTGCTGGATTATCTTGGGGATAAAAAACCATCATCAAAAGTAAACGTAATTGTTTATCAATATGAGACATGCTGCTAAAAAGGGCTAAAGGAAATTTCTAAAACAAACAAATCTTAGAGGAATCAGAAATATCTGGAAGAAAGAAGAAGAATATCAATGCAGAATATGATTAAAATATATACGTTTCCTTTTCCTTTTAATATCTCTCAGTTCTGTGTGATGTTTGAAGCAAAAAGTATAAGTGATGTGATGTGGTCCTCTATAGACACAGAGTAAATGTATTGTAGATTCTGTTCTTACAATGGTGATTGTGAAGGAACTATAATTGCAGTAACATCAAATAGGGTTAGACTTGAAGGCAATCACGATATCTGAGTAGCACTAACACCGACCAGAGAGATCTGGGATAGCTGATGTAACATACTCACTTCACAGTGCCTTGATCCTTCCATCCAACTGAGATGACAAGGCATTTAGGCACATGGGATCACATTTAACCTCAAAGAGCTGCTAATGAACAGAACATGAGGTATTGTTATCATATTGAATGGTTAAGGATGGGTAAGGGAACTAACTCACCCTTAATGTCCCAACGTTCTGCTCAGTCTGGCAGACATCACAGCACACTGGGTTCTTCCTTAAAACTCCTGCTTCTGGGTTGCAAAGATTAAACCCTTTACTTTACACTAGAAGGTAGCAGAAGGGAAAAGAAAACTCATGAAGTAGAGGAAACCAGGATGAGGAAGCACATAAATCCCAGGGGATGGAATGATGGTGCCTTGTCTGTGCAGACGACATCAATGGAAGGTACACAATGATGTTTTTCCTCCTCCCAGGTCATCTCACCACCCTGGGCATATACAGTGATAACTGTGACTGCAGACACATACTGGGAATGTGAGCTTGTGCATTTCCCATTCCCGTGGCAAGAACTCCCCCTCTCTGTGTGCACTCAGGCCCCTACTTTCATGCCACAGCCTTCCATGGGCAGCACAAAGGGGGCAAGGGAAATCCGCCAACCACATAAATACACAGGTTTTGTTTTCTCTCCATTCAGGCCCTGAAAATTATTCTTTGAGGTGGGCATCATTACTTCCTTTCCACACAGGGGCTCAGAGAGCGCAATGCTTAGACCCAGGAAATTCTCCAGAGGCACCAGATGAACACTGATGCCATCTTAAATGGATTCCTCTGGCCAATATTGGGACAAATGGAGCATGGAAATAGAGAACGGCAATAGAGAGGAGAACAGTTTGGGAAAATGGGTGTTGAGCCATACTGATATAGGTCAGCACATGAGTAAAGAAATATGGAGATAAGTAAGCAGTATACTACACACCAGGTCATCATTGAAGAGGACCAGGAGAATCATAACACATAACCTATCACAGCAGTAAGTGATTAACTAACTTTCACAATATATATCCAGGGACATATCTGCACAAGCATGAGCATATACACAACACACACTAACAAATGTCAATGTAAACACACAGCTCTCACCTCAAAGGAAGAGGAGAGTTCATTCTGGAGTCAAATATATGTGAGTAAACATGAGTGAGACAGGTTTATGTTAGTACAAATTACATGTCACAATGTGGAAACAGTTTCATGAAGTTTTTATAATAATAGAATGAAGAAACTATAGACTCTCTTTAAGTACATGGGTGATAATATTAAGTAGACTATTATGGTAAAGCAGAGAAACCACAGCTACAGGCACTAGCTGCTATGTGATGACACGCAGTCGTTTGACTGGTAGAAACTTAAAGCTTTGATAAGGAGACATATTCTGATATTTTAAATGTCAGGTCCAACGTCATCACTTAGTAACAAGGTGTTAGGTAAGTCCAACACAGGGGGCCCAAGGAGTGGCTACTCATGGGCTCAAGAGAACACAAAGGAAATTGTAATTAGGCCCTGGGACTGCGACTTCCACCATCTCCATATCACTGCAGGTCTAAGAGTCAATCAACCAGTCTTTGCAGACCAGCCTCTGCCAAGGAATTCCTGTACACACACACACACACACACACACACACACACACACACACACACACGACACCTCATTCTCACTCTCCTAGCTCCCTGGTGTTTACTGAGAGCTCAAGGGGTACAACCACATTACAACAGATTCATCTCTGACCACACACAGGATGGTGAGAGCTACTAAATTATGTGGTCTGAATGAGATTCCTGTGACGATGGCCATGGACTTGTCTCTGGGACATTTCTCTCATTTGTTTCAGACTGTCAATAATAACCTGTAAATGCCGATACGAAAATAGGGACAAGCTGCATTACACATCAAATATAGTTTGCATCATGAAATAATCCATGCTTGCAACAAAAAATATCCTTTGTAAGTTTCATTGACACTTGTTTCCTGACAGTTTACAGAAGATTTAATAATTTGTTCACAGAAAAAACAATACGTATCAATTTGTTTAAAAAATAATAGCAGTTATAGATGAATCAAAAAGTACAAATATTTGTGCATTATCCCGACAGATAGATCCATAGTGCTGATAGGCCGAGAGATTTCCAAACATTGCTGAATTGGAGACAACCTGTCTTAATAAAGGACAACTATGTTCACGGCTCAAACAATTCATTATTAGTAAGATGTCTGTTGATTCAAAACTGAGCTACAGATTCGATGCACTAACAATAAAATAGCACTTATTCTTTTTAAAAATTGAGTGGATAACTCTAAACATTGTAGACTAAATATATAGCTTGTGTAAACCTTAGAAACAGACAAATGTTAGAGAACAGCATTGCCTGATAGGAGACCTCTGTGTGAACCTACAGTAATTGGACCAGCATGCTATTGAATCAAAGTCGGCAAGAAAAAGTCCAAAACCAACATTCCACGCTCACATCCACACATTTACAGACCACTGCCTATATCGAGTCAACATTTTTCCTGTGTCTGATGCTGGCATCAAGCTTGTGTGTAGTGCGTGTAGTGTGTGCTGAGAAGAACTGACCATACTCCTGCTGCAGCCTCCCAGGCACTGGGATTACTGGCATATGTACCATGATTGGATTATTGGAGAACTGATGTTTCACAAATAAACAAGGCAATTTGATGCATAAAGATGGCCTTTCAGGAAGCAATGCTGAGGTAAGTGTATATCCAAACCCACAAATATAAACTAGGACCTACATCGTATCATATGTGAAGACCATTCAAAATAAATTACAGATGTAAAAATATAAAAATCAGCCTATAAATGTCCAACAGAAAACAAGAAGAAAATCCCTGTCACTGGGTTCCAGGAAAAGATTTCGCAGACAAGACACCGAATAAAAACCGTAATTGAAGAACTAGAGAAGGTGGGATCTTACAATTGAAAATCTCCTGCTCTTCCAAAGACATGGATGAGAATTGAGATGATAAGTCTGAGGCTAGGAGAAAAGTTAGAAATACATATATCTGATAAAGCATTTCTATGAAACATACGGAAAACCTCATATGTCAGTCAGAAAGTAGTCATCGAGACCCGTGAAATATTTCAGGTGTGCTTTTCAAGGGGGTGTTGATAGGATTGCCCCCTTTATTGAGATTCATTAGAGATATTAAGGCCATAAGCAGTGTCTTAGGGATTCTGAGGAGAGATCAGGGCCACCTGGCAGGGCGGGCCCAAGGAAATGGAAATTAAAATGCCAGACCGGTGCCAAGCACAAAGTGTCCCACACCTGCAACCCCTTCACGAGGCAGCCAAGGCAGGAGAAACACTGAGAGTTCTGAGCCAGGGTAGGGCACAGTGAAATGCTGTCTCAAATCCAAACAAAACCGCAGATTACTAAAAAGAAAATCCTCTAACCAAGTGAGTCTTTTACCACTCATCTGAGACATGTAGGGTAATTATTGACTAGCATTTAGGCTTTCCCTCTTAAATCTCACCGGTCCTATGGGCTAGCAATCTCATGGCCTTTTCACAGAGAGGGACATGTACAGACAGGTCTGGGGAAGAAGGGGGTAGTGGAGAGGAAGGTGCTCGCTGGTCATCCAGTGGTAAATAAAGCTGGGAATAAATAGCTGAATATTAACTCATTCAAATAATATTAAAACTGTTCAAAGAGAAAACAATTGCTTTCTTTTCTGTTTGCCCAGAGATCTGACTGACTGCAACTTGGAAAGACAGCCCTGCTATCTCACTTATCTCTTACATCTCACCGATCCATGGGCGAACAATCTCAAGCACAGAGTAGGAAGTCGGGATCACAGAGTGCTCATTTGGCCTCATCTCCCTCCTGTTCACTCTCCCACAATTCCCCTCCTGGACAATGGCTCCAGCACAGCCCTGTACAGAACAGCACAGGAGGAGGCAGAATGGTCCCAAGTCTCTCTCCTTCCGGAGAAACACAGGCTGCAAACCCCGAGGTAGGAGTGGTCCTACTTGGGTCTGGAATCCCTGCATCTGCCTCCCAACCCTCAGAAAGATTCTGGTGCTCACCTCCGGGAATCCATAAGCTCAACTCAGTCCAAACACCAGGAACTGAATGCTCCTTTCCAGGACATCGTCCGGTCGCCATTTGAAAAGAGTCGCCATAATGACCCCGGTTTCTATGACAACCGCAATGCTGCCTCCCCCTTAGTAACCAGGAATGGCTCCGCCCAGCCCTCCCTTACTTCCTCTCAAAGGAAGAACTCTTCACCCTTGTTTTCACTCAAGAAAGCATACCCATTAGAGAAACTGTCCCCACTACGAATGCAGAGCTTTTCTTTTTTTTTTTTCCGCTCTGTGAACAAAGCATATCCCTAAAAGCCCGACCACATTGTACTCACCAGACCATGGTGGTATCTATGGAAATGTCGTCACAAAGATGAACATTGCTGTCACGGTGACAAACGAGCAATTTCATTCCAATAATTAACTATGCATATATGACCTCATCACGGGAATTTAAAGTCTGGGACATCTTGTACAGAAACATCCTGAAAAAGAACAGTCAAAGGTTAAAAGAACTGCTTTGGAGATGCCGGGGATCGAACCCGGGGCCTCACATATGCAAAACATGTGCTCTACCTCTGAGCTACATCCCCAAACCTGGTAACAGCTTCATCAAAGCCTATGTGAATTCAGAGCGACCGAGCCAACGTTCAGAGTCTCTGCAAGGGTCTGCATCAGGTCCTTTGAGCATATTGGATTCCAGGTTTAGTGTTTTGATAGGATTCATGGGACTTTTGTTGCATGAGAAAACAATCTATTTTCAGTCAAAGGAAAAATAATAACAATAAAAATAATAACAACAACAAAAATAACAACAAACCTTATGCTCTTTAAAGCAAAGTAACCTAACAATGAATGATACTTTGAAGTACTCAGTCCCATCAATTTTACTTCAACTTTACCTTGCAGGTGGTTCAACATGCCAGTATCATGCGGAATTAATAATTATATGTTGCTGATATGCGGTCATATCTGAGAGTATGAGTAGCTTCCTGAAACCCTCTCTAGCATACCTTCTTCCTCTTTTAAAGCACTAATTAGGTTCAGGGCTTGAAAGGCAGTTTTTATAATCTTGGTCAGGCTGCTCATTTTGTTTCTTAACGTTGCCAATACTGTCCATCACTCCATTTATGGCAATAACTAAATGTGCGGTAGCTATTGGTTCATAAAACCCTAAGGTACTGTCACTTTCTGCACGTTTATGTATCTCACCGCACGCTTTGTAAGTTTCAAAAATGAGAGGTTTTCTGAAATATGTCCTCCTTTTCACACATCATCTAGTATATGTCTCAATATACAAAATCATTAAATAAATATTGTATGTATGTTCAGATGAGTGAGAAAAGTGAGTATTTTTTAGAAAGAAAGCAATCTATCTTTTTTCTCATTTACATGCTTATCCAAGTTTCTATTCCCTCTCCTCAGCCCATTCCCTCCACTTACCCCCCCTCCCAGCCCACCTTCATCCACTCCTCAGAGAGGGTAAGGCACATTGCCCAGAGGAAGAAGCAAGGCCTCCCCCACTATATCCAGGCTGAGCAAGGTATCCATCCAAAGACAATGGTTTCCAAAAAGTCAGCACCAGCAGCAGGGATAAATCCTGGTGTCACAACCAGTGGCCCTGCAGTCTGCCCCAGCCATAAACTGTCACCCACATTCAGAAGGTCCAGCTTGGTCCTATGCTGGTTCCTTCCTTGTCTGGCCAGAGTTGGTGAGCTCACAACTATTTCAGTGTGTGTCTTCATCATGGTCTTGACCTCTGCTCATATTCTCACTCCTCCCAAGGTTCAACTGGAAAAAATTAATAAAGAGTACCTGAGAAGATGCCAGACTATAGAAGACTGAGTCCACATAAGACATTGCTTAACCTCAACAATTATTGGAATACTACAAAGAATGATATTAAAACAGGCCTTTAATATATAACTTCTAGATAAAGACAAGGAGTAATGGCAAACAGGTGAGCGAGTGTGGTAGACCGAGAGCTACCTAAATTAAGTGAAGACAAAAGCAAAAAGAGAGGGATGGAGGGATGGAAACAAAAGGTAAATGAGGGCAACGGAAGAAGCAATAACATCTCAGTACTGACTGTGGTCTAGGTTTGAGATGTTGGTGGATAAGTACTGATACCCAAATGACCTAGAAGTAATAAAATATGAGTCAGTGTATCTCTGTGAGCCATGACCCTTTTGTGTTATCTTTCTTTCTGGGAATCATCCTTTCAATTTCATTCATAATAGATTTTCCCCGTAATCTATCCTGATTATAATTTTCCTTCCCTCTACTCCTCCCAGTTCTGCTCTACCTTCCCTTCTTTCAGGATCCATTCTGTTTCTATCTCTCAGTAGATAATAATATGCTTCTAAGAGATAACAGCAAAGTGCAACAAAATAAATTAGAATAAGACTTTAAATCACAATTATCAAATTGAAATTGGATGAGACAAATGAACAGGAGTAAAAGAGCCCACAAGAAGACCCAAGAATCAGAGACGCACTTCTTCACACACTCAACAGCCCCACAAAAATACAAATAAAAGTTCTCCTAAAATACTGAAAGAGATAATATACACATTGAAGACCTGGTGCAGACCCATGCCTGCCTCATGCTTGCTGCTTTGGTCTCTTTGAGTTTCTGTGAGTTGATTTAGATGGATTTGTACTCCATATGGTAATCAATCTACCTTAAATTCCAAATAAAGCACACTCGTTATATACTCCAAGGACACTTTACCCTACCACAAGGACACTTCTATGTGATAGTTGCATTTTATCTTATTCTAATTAATTTTGTTATTTTTTATCTCTTAGGAACTTATTGTTTTCTAATAAGAATCAGAAAGGTGGTGGATCTGGATGTTATGGGAGGAGGGGAGAAACTGGGGAGGTTAAAGGGAGAGGAAACTCTAATCAGAATATATTTAAAGAAAAATGTGTCTTTTAAACACAGGGCGAAAATAAGAAAAGTATCAGGATAACTATCATGATTTCATGCTTCTAACATAACCTTGCTGTACAACTGTCCCTGCACACAGGAAAGGCCTCCCTTCTCTCCTCGCTTTCACTCAAAGCAAAAGTCCTTCCTTCGAAGGCTACCAACTGAGAAGCAGAACTAAGATGACCTAGGTGGGGACTCAGACAATTGGCAGAACTCACTTTTGGAAATAAACTATCTCCTCTCAGGAATTTTTGCATTATAGCAGTGAGTGTAGGATCTACCGTGAAGACATAGCTAGGGATAAACAGTAGGACTGTGGAATATAAGGTAAGTCTTTTCAGAGGAATGTCTAAGATAGGCCATCCACCTATGACAGAAAACTGCAAGATTTTTCTCCAAAACATTGACTAAGCAGTCAAGCAACATTTGAAAACCGAACAACAACAAAAACAAACAAACAAAAAATGCCCAAAAGTTGTATAGCTGGGTCTTGAGGTAGACTGAGTCCCAATCTGAGAAACCACCATACTGATTTCCAAAGTGGCTGTATAGGTTTTCACTCCCACCAGCAGTGGAGGAGTGTTCCCCTAACTCCATATCCTCTTCAACATAAGCTGTCCTCATAATTTTATCTTAGTCATTCTGACAGGTGTAAGATGGTATCCTAGAGTCATTTTAATTTATGTTTCCTTGTTGATTAAGGATGTTCAGCAATTCCTTAAATTTCTTTTGGCAATTTGAGATTGTCCTGTTGAGAATTATCTGTTTAGCTCTATACCCCATTTTTAAATTGGGGTATTTTGAGCCTCGTTTCTTCAGTTCTTTATATATTTTGGGGATCAGTCCTCTGTCAGATGTGGGATTGGTAAAGACCTTTTTCCATTCTGAAGGATGTCATTTAGTCTTATTGACTATGTCCTTTGCCTTACAGAAGCTTTTCAGTTTCAGGAGGTCTCTTTTATTGGTTGTTGTTCTCAGTGTCTGTGCTACTCCTGTTATATTTATGAAGCGGTCTCCTGTGCCAATGTGTTCAAGGATACTTCCCACCTTCTCCTCTATCAGGTTCAGAGCAACTGGATTTATGTTGAGGTCATTGATACATTGGGACTTGAGTTTTGTGTATGGCTGAAGATTTAGATCTATTTGTAATCTTTTACATGTTGACACCATTTATCCAGCACCATTTGTTAAAGATACTTCCATTTTCCATTGTATATTTTGACTTCCTTGTCAAAAATCAGGTGTTCACAGGTGTGTGAATTAATGACAGCATCTTTATTTGATTCCATTGGTCCATGTGTCTGATTTTATGCCTACCAAATTGTCTTTTATTACTTTAGCTCTATGGTGAAGTTTTATGTCAGGGATGGTGATGCCTCTGGAAGTTCTTTTATTGTACAGGATTGTTTTAATTATTCTGAGGATTTTTTGTTTTTCCATATGAAGTTGAATATTTTTCTATAAGTCTGTGAGCAATTGTGTTTGGATTTTGATGGGTATTTCTTTGAATCTCTAGAATGTTTTTGGTAAGATTGCCATTTATATTATGTTGGTCCTACCTATGCAAGAGCATCCATGAGCGTGGGAGATCTTTCCATTTTCTGATATCTTCTTCAGTTTCTTTCTTTAATGTTGTAGGGCACCACTCTGTAATATGGAGTGAGCGGTGGGCTGCCTCCCCAGCACCCGGCTGCCCACATGGCTAGATTTACACCCCAAATAATTACACGGAAATTGTATTCTTTTAAATACTGCTTGGCCCATTAGCTCTAGGCTCTTATTGGCTAACTCTCACATCTAGATTAATCCATTTCTAATAATCTGTGTACCACCACAAGGTGGTAGCTTACCGGTAAGATCTTAACCTGCATCCATGTTGGAGAGCACAGCTATGGCAACTGCCTGACTTGGCTTCTTTCTCCCAGCATTCTGTTCTGTTACTCCGCCTACCTAATTTCCTGTCCTATTAAAGGGCCAGGGCAGTTTCTTTCTTTAACCAATGAAATCAAGACAAAACAGAAGACTCTCCCACATCACTTTAGAGACTTAAAGTTCTTCTCATACAGGTGTTTCAATTGTTTAGTTATAGTTACCCCAAGAGAATTTATATTTGTGG